TATATATATATATATATATACTTTTGTTTGTTTACAGTGAAATTAGTTCATTCGGACTGAACGGAGTTTTGACAGACTCGGTCCAAACGGTGACGTTTGACAGCCGAAACATCAATCACCTTGCGGAGTTCCTAGTGGAATGCGATTGGTTGGCTTCAGTTAAAGTTGAAAAGGTATAGAATGCGTTTCTATAATTAATTCCCGCGGCTGAAAAGCGGAGACCAGCATTCAAGGTAGTTGACCGCGTGTAACTACGTCATTCTTTTGCGCTTCAAATTGGAAATTTCAGCAAACTCCAAAAAGTCACCCAAACATGTCATTTTCCAAATTTTCTGGCAGTAAAAATAAACGATCAGAGAGGAGTATAATATCTCAAATAAAGTAATCACCCCAGGAAAGGATTACACAGTCGCAGTACGCTAAAGAGAATTTTCTGCACAAACCTTAAGGGGTAGTTCTATACGCGTACTTCGTATCTTAATGCCCAAATGATAGAGGAGAAATACACACCGATATCTTTAGGATGGGCGTTTCGACAACGAGAGAATTTACTTGAAACCATAAATGACCATTGGTTTGTTGTGAATACCTCTATTCGTCGTATGTTTTAACCGATTAACGATAGTAGTGGAGCACCCTAAAGCATCTTGAAGTTTTTAGAGGAGAACTGGAAGAATAAGGAATGTTCTCATTGTCAGCATTTTTTTTCTGTATACTGAACAACCAATATATGGATAATAACAAAAATGCATGCTGAATATATTGTACCGGTACAACAGACTAAGTAGACCATAGATGGATGTTGTTTTTATTCTCTCCCCACAAATGCCTAACGGCCTAGTCACTTGTTATTCAAAAGGCAGGATAATTGTCACGTGTTATGAGCATCCTTGGCCGTGCTACTCAGTAATCATAAAAACGACATGGGTACTGTTGCGGTGAGGATGTCTCACACACGGTTACAACTGTGAGAGTTTTACTTACTTATTAGACACTCATTGAAAATCAACCATCTTGATATTGGAAACATAACCGCCGTAGGATCATTGTAGTGAAGACAAGTTCGTTTGAAATTTCACTTACCAGAGGCGGAGTATTTTAGTTTTCCCGATATTTCTAGTGTTCAGTGACAGAGAACATAATACTATACCGCCACGTCACATACTACTCGCAACGTGAAATTGTGTGCCATTTGAGAGAAAACAATTGTCGGTATTAGAAAACAGTATGGTATTTATTTTTCATGTATATCAGGCAGAAACAGACGTAAATAAATGCAAAAACGGTACAAATGTACCGATCATTTGACAACACCGTTGCACCGAGATCAAAAACAGCTTCGACAAAGAGCGAATTTAATCCTAGCAAAAATAAATCCTTCGGAATTTTGGAGTAGAAATCCTCACACACCCCGATAGAAATGGAAAACGCTGGACACAGTCAGTGATCACTGGTAGGGCAGTAGGCAGGAGAAACGGGAATGAAGAAAAATAATGCAGACAGGTGATACTGGTTGGACTAATTGCCGTTTGGAGTGGTGTTGGTAAGAAGATCAGATGATGCGGGTGAGCTGTTGGAATTGGGAGGGACTACACACAACAGACTTTGGTTGGGTCGAGATGAATTTGCAGGCGAAGATCCTCGCATGCGGCCGAAACGAGCACGGGGCCTACCAGGGCCTCGAACAACCACAACTTCTTTTGACGCGGGCAATGGATCACGTGTCCGTGTCACTGAATCACGAGTTTTCCGGGCAAGGAGAGCTGAGCCTCGACGTCCCTGCGAAATATCGATGAGTGTTCAAGAACAAATTGAAAATTGGTCTCGACAGTGGAGAAGGGGAAATCCTTAAGAGAACGCATTCACACCCTCCCCCCCTCAAAATGCCATATGAAATCAATGAACTTATGCTGCACAAATATTAATGTAATACAGCAAGTATGAGTGTTCAGCGTGATATATTCATATATTCATTTCATAGGGACCTAGTAGCTGTTTCAGTTCGAGGTAGAAATATGTCAACGTGAATTTGTCACTAGTTTGATTTACTGTTTACTACGATTTTTCCTTTCGGTCGATCGAACTGAAAACAAAATTTTACTTGAATTTTAATAGAAAGTTAATTCTACTGGTTTGTAAACAAGAAAAATATAAACGCTCGGGTACGGTAATTACATTACACACCGAGTTCATTCGGAAAACGGAAATCGTATGATCCTAAGAAAAAAGAAAACAGACATCCATTTCTCTTGAAATCATGAATTTCACGGGGACATCACATTGCATACATCGAGTTTAGTTTCATGGATTCATCGTCATCAGCGTGTTAAACGCTCCAACTGATTCCAGATCAATCCTTTCGGATTTCTTAATTCGTTCTTAAGTCGTTTCTTTATCCATACACTAACCTACACTGGAAACTAAACACTACCATGATTGTTCAAATAGTTGTTTGGCAGATTTGAAGTTTGTATGTCGATTGGGAAAAGTTCAGTAGCCTCGGTGGGATTCGAACCCACGCATGGACTCCGCCTACGCTTTGTACGCGCATGCTCTACCAGCTGAGCTACGAGGCCATACCGATAGCACTGGTCTTTTCACATTCGAATTTACCCATCCAACTTACAGAGGCATGTGGTATCCACCAGTTAGCATGTAAGCTGACTGCCCCGACAGGTTTTCCTTAGAACGAGAACAATTGCAATTTGGGATAGCTGTGAAGTTGACTAAGTCATTCTTAGAGTCCGTCACCGTGAAGAATGATGGAAAGCAAGTACGAACTACCCAACATATTCATCAACATGCATTGTGAACCCGAACTGGTCGAATGGTTGGACCCTACGAGTCGCAACAACGAGCAGAATGAAACCTTATCGTAAGGACTGCGGTGTGGAGCTGGAAGACTGCAAAGTTACCTACCATTATAGTGACCGGTCAATACGTTAATGATTAAGACTGAGACAACCAGACCTAAAGTACTTCCGTGTTCCTTTCTTTGTCTTGAGTAGGAACTATATAGATTGCACTCAGATCAATGGGTTCACATTCCATTTGTATGGCGGCTATCGCCAAGAGTCTTACCCGAGAAATGGAATTTCCACGACCTGTTCTCTTTATTGATACAGATGCATTTTGCATGTCGCGAGAAAAGACATCACCAATGCATGAATTACGTCCGTGGGATCCACCCCGTTGGAATCTAGTCGGGGCAGAATGAGCTGCCGCACGCCCCCGACGGGTACCGCCACGAGTGCCCTAAAGAGAAAGACAGAAATGTAAACTTCGTAGCACGATAACAATGCTGTTCAGCAAGAAAGAGGAAGATTACAGGCCACGCAAAATGGCATCACGAGGGACACTTGGACTAAGCACTAGAAATCCACAGAAAAAACTAAGTTAAGTTCATATAATCAAGAACCTTGGAATTTTGCTTGGGGTTTGTGACAGAAGCAGTAGAATCCACCCACTACCTATCTCGGCAAACATCGATCGCCGTGGCAACCTATCTGGTGACATGCATAGCACATGTCCCAATCAACGTAATCTATGGAGGTCAACCACTTGCTCCAGTGGGCGACTGCGGCAACACAAAACTCTGCACCTAACCTCAGCATTCCTCGTCCGGCTGCCCCACCAGATTCGTGCAATGTTGCGTAGACAGAGGTATTCAAACACCCACTGTCTATCTATATCCTACCTCCCTAATCGCTAAGTTTCTGCGCCGTATAGCAGAACTGACCGAACTGCCGCGGCATACACTCGACCCTTCACAGATAATTGGATGTATCGACCGCGCCACGGATGTCTCAAGTTGGCAAATGCCAACCTAGACTTCTATATGCGAGCAGACACTTCATCCGTGATGCGTCTACCGGGTGAGATGTAGCTGTTCAAATAAAAAACTTATCCACTTGCTGTATTACTTCCCCAGTTATAGTGAGGCTGGGTGCTAGACCAACCCAGTATTGAAGTAGCATTTTACACTTTGGAGGTGCAAAACGCATACCGAACATGGACACACTGGCATTCAAGCTGTCCCAAAAAATTGGCAATTTACCTGCATTTTCACTTAGTACCACAATGTTGTTTGCATACTCAAGATCAGATAGTCTGCCACCCGGGAGCAAAATCGATGCCGCTATCCTCGCATCAAGATAAAGCTGTTTTAAGAATTAAATCTATGACAAAGATGAATAGAAACAGAGAGGGCAATCCTGTCGAACACCACTTTCTGTAGCGAACTCGGGTGAAAAAGTGCCGTAAGCTCAGAATCGGCTTCGGCTATTATTGTAGAGGGATTGTAATATTAAATAAATGTATCGGGCACACCCTTCAGGGAACGGCAGCGCCAGAGTTAAAAGCGGTCGACTGAGTCGAAAGCCGCTTTCAGATCGAGGAAGATGGAAATGGTGGGTCTACGAAAAGAGTCTGTGGTCTGGGATTTGACGAAGAGAAAAGATGTGGCCGATACAACCTCCATCAGATCTAAAACCAGCCTGGTTCTTACGTGTGCACTCTTTAAGAGCTGCAGACAATCGACGGAGTATGATGCCGGCGAGAAGTTTAGAGGCAATGTTGACTAAACTAATTCCTCTGCTCCACGGCGATCTATGTTTGCCGAGGTAGGTAGTGGGTGAAAGAAAGCCCAGGGTGGTCAAGCTAAGACCTGGCATGGGGGTATGAAAACCCTAACTAGGGGGTTGGGACACATAGTTTTCGTTAGACTCTTTGGATGGGAACCTCGAGATCGTGGTAACCGGCGGTGTCGTAAACAGTGGCGTTCTTGCATCTTCTCAATTTTTTTGCAATCCTAAACTACTGAAATTCTCCATTTTCTGTTCGACTCTACTTTCAACTTCCCTGTCTTTCTCCTGTTCTTCATCCAAATGGGCAGCCAAAAGACAACAACCAAAACCGCCGCGCGAAAGTTCATGAGTAATGGTTGTACAAACTGAAATTGATGGCCAAGATCATGAACTTGATGGGGCACTTTGGAAGTTCTACCCGACGTAAAGGATAAGTGACACCGGTCGCCAACGGATTACGGTTTTCAAACACTGGATGAAAATAGACTATCAGTCGAACACCATTGCATATGCTGCATTGCCCGATTCTGGGGAGGCTACCGAATAAATATTGACGGAGTGAGATGAAGAGTACTGGGTTATCGCGGTCACGCATTGATGCAGCGCGCGCCACAAGATGGGCTCCCTCAGCGTGCGAAGCTTGCAGAGGCAAGTAGTTCGAAAACTTTACCTTTGTTCGGAATAACAGTGGGTTAACGCACGATGGATAGTTTAATGAACTCTCTCACAAAAAAACGAAATGTGTCATAATGAAAAAGTGGTTGGGTTATTTTATAAATTAGCGCACCAGGTGATGACGTTACGAATAGTCAATAATGGAAACGTTAAGTGAATAACTTACTAAAGCTGGTTCCTCACGCCACGGTATATTGCGTGTTAGTCGCATCCCACCAATAAGGGCACGAAGCGGTCGGTTATCCACATACACTTCTCCGGTGAAAATATCAACTGTAATTCGATCGGCCGGTTGAATTGTTCCCGGGGTAGTGGAAACCAACTTCACCGGTTTTACTGGCTCTGACAAACGGGGGGATTTTTGCGGATTGACTGGGATTGGCTGAAAGGATGCAGTCTGAATAAGTGAAGCGACCGCTTCAGCCCTGTCGTTGGAGGCACATTTTGAGTCAGTCAGTGGATCTGTCGATCTAATAGCTGTGTCTCCCAAGGGCACTGTTTGCGAAATCCGGTCACATTTGGTTCCTTCTTTTTTGGCACCGGTTACACCCGGCACTATTGTATTTCTGCTTTTATCTGACCCATTGGGAGCTATTTTCTTAGTTGAATCTAGCCTTGGTATTTTTGACCTTCTCTGATCATCTAATGGTGACGCAGTAGGAGTTCGGCAGCGTTTGATCGTGTTCTGAGATAAGTTGGGTACCATGAATAGGACGGGAACAAGAACCAGCATGGAAGATAACAATGGAGAGAAAGAGCTGAAATAATGACTGAGTAGTAGTGTACTTGAATATCCCACATTGTAAATCATGAATAATATCATAATGCAAAAAATTATATGCAGTAGACACCGACCAAAGGAGTGGTATAAGATATGGCGAAAACTCAACTGCAGAAAACAGAGTTATTGCAAAACTAAGCAGGTAGTGGACAGGAAAATAGCCGCAGTGAGGGGAACAGTTGAGGAAACTGACCGTGGATCGTCGTCTGGGACGAAGACGGGACGATCCGAGCGCGGTTCCTGATTTCGAGCGATCCGCGTGTGGTTCACCGAGTTTGTAGGTTGCGGACCGGTTGAGACTGTGTAAATGGACAAAAANGACAAAAACAGAAAGCTTGAATGACGATGCACATTTCGACAGAATAATGTTCGAAGAGAAACTCAGTGTCCCTAAAAGAACACAAATAACATACAATGTCTTGATACAAAAATAAGCAGTGATATGCGACATCAATGATAACCAAGAATATAATCACCGATATTATTACATTATATTTCACACTTGTCTGAGGACAAACTGTGAGCCAAACAAATCACGTTACAATAATCTTATAAAAAGAAAATGTTCCATGATTGGATGGTGGGCTGAGTACTGCCAGGTTGCCCAGGCCAAGGCAGGTGAATTGTCTTNGGAGCTTTCGGCTAGCCACACGTGCTTTAGGCAAGCTGAAAAACAATACACGTTAGATATAGCAAACGCATGGCCATTATAAATACAAATTTACAAGCCCGCAATTCGAGATGCTAGATCGGATGATAGATCCATAAAAACCAAGATAGTGCGGCGAAATACAAAAGAAATATATGACAATAGTCTGGAATTACCTTCGACACGCCATTTTTCCATCGAGGTTAAAACCAAGGAACACCAAATCATCCTCGTCTCCATCGGCAAAAGAACTAATAGAAGAAAGCGAGGGTGAATTCATGTGGTTTCGGTTTTGGGATTTTCCTGACGCATTGCTCGAACCTGATAGTTGTTCGGAGCGGGAACGATTACTGTGGAAGCGACTCAAGCCAGTGCTAGCATTGTCCGTTGAGGTCGTCGGAGAGATACTCTCGATCGAGGCAACGTCTTTATTTTCAGGATCATCAAGGTGAAGAAATTCTGTGTTTAGACTACAAAAGAGGAATTTCAAGGTGGGCGACACAAGTGAATGGTTGAACTTTCAAATGATGATGACAAGTACTGAAATAACTAGTGTTTACTTGATCCGATTTCCTTTTCACCGATAGTTCAACAGTAAGACTTTGATAATGTTTGAACATCATCGTACACTAAACAGAAGAGGATAAAAATTATGATGGTCTAATTCAGTATAAAAGTACAGAGCGTGAAACAACAAAACCTTGAAGGTGAGTAAGCCTATAAGCTATCGGGATGGTCTTAACATTACCAGTGGATGGTTTTTCATTCAATGTAAATTATTTTACTTTAACAAAAGTTGCGTTTTGAATGATAAATGATGAGGTGCGTGTATACGTGGAGGGATGAATGACAGAACCGCATTGTTTAGGCCAAGGAACCAGTATTTTTCGTTCTTCAAGCACGCGCAACGGATATGGGTTTCACATTTCTGAACGAAGTTCAAGTGATGCGGTCACAGCAACAATGCAGCACAGTACAGATTCAGCGCATACATGACGATCCGTCTAATGGGACGATTGGAGTGAGCCGGTATTTCCGGGGGGGGGGGGGNACATTCAACTTTTCCCTATTCACTACGACCAGTTGTTATGTTTCCAAAAGACCAGCGCTAGCTTGAGGATAATAGTTTACTGCGAACCACAGTTAGGGTATGGATAAATTGGAGTACATATAACAAGACATCTATCTCATTTGGAATATGCCATCAAAATTCCCAGCATCACACAGGATAATTAATGGAACCTTGAACCTTGCCACACATTTTCTGGCCACTTATTGGTCAATACTGACCATTTTCTCGTTCTATGCATTGATTATCAAGGGCTCTATATTCATAGGCCAGAGCAATATACCCCCACCTAGATTTTTGGATTATCTCTGCTCCCATATTCACCATCATCACCATTATTGAAAAGCTAGACAGCGTCCGGATGAAAAGCCGAAATACGAAATTTAATCGAATCATATTTTTTGATGTAACGGGAATATATTAAAAAAACGCTACTTTTACAGCGGAAAAAGTATTGCGCTCCCGTGGAATTCGTACACACAACTCGGTTTTTGAACGGGTGCGACAGACATTCCGAGTTTGCACTTTGGCATGGCAACCGGCACCTGTGGTGAGTTAATGGTCACCCTGGTGACAGTGGCCATACGCTCACGTCACTCCTAGTGAACTTGAAGGAACAAAGACGTTCAAGGAAGCCGGTACAAGCCGTTATTAGCTACGGTCCATTGAAAGGGGCTTAGTGGTGACGAGAAATCCAGAATCGATGTTCTTCACAAGTACAATGTTAGCATTTCGGAGGCCGTCAATGCAGCTCGTCTAGATCTTTTCTGGCACAATGTCCGAAGAGGAACAAGCTAGAACAACAGACGTGAGTGGATTGGACGCCAGAAAAAGTTCTCGAAGAAGATAAACGCAGATTGCTATTTTTGGTCTCAAACTCCGCGAGTCACGCAATGGACATAAAAGCGGTACTTGAGTTGAACGGTACAAGGGACACTCAAAAAAGTCCCCGGGGTGATATACAGGTATTGACCAAACTCGTGCAACATCCTGATTTTCATCACATTTGTTCCTCTTAATGCTTTATTCTTCCAGCCTCATTGACGGGATTGAATATG